ATGTGATAAATTTTGCTCAAACCTATTCAAGATATCTACATTTTTGTTTTCGTATATATCTCACTTCCAAGAATAATAATTTTAATTTGTTTGGTCTTATGATTTATGATGATATGTTTTATTTTCATACGCTGTACTTTGTGATCGTTTGCACAGAATGTACACTGAATATTGTAATTAAAGTTCATTTTTATTTTACTAGGCTATACGAACTATTTTTCTGTAAGCAGTAGTTTGTACAATAACTTCTCATTTTTTTCGTTTTGTGACATGCACTGATATAGAATTCTTTTTCCTTTTTAACATTTCACGAAAATTGATTTATTAGACGCAAAGTCATTTTGCCTCTAATAAATCAATTTTCGTCGAACAAAGGAGACATATACAACAAAATGGAAATAGTTGCATTTGATTAAATGATGTAGATAGACGGTAACAGGAAATTGCATCAGTCAGACGTGTTTCATCGTAGAAATGATACATTTTATTCGTTTTGATTTTTGTTAAAATTTGTTCAGTATCAAAGACGGAGTGTAAACGATGATTGTCATTGTAGCAATATTTGTTAAATACATTCATAATGTGTAGACATCTCTTCGGATCACGTAGAGGAATGAGTCTTTCGAGTAGCTGTAACACTGTTAACATTTCTAAAGGAAAATTGGCAACAGTGGCGAGGAGACGTTTATCATTATCTGCGGCAGTTGTTGTTTCACGAGCAACTCTATCCCAAAGGCTGCCGAAAGGATTCACCTAAAAGATGGACAACTGGATTAATGGCTGTTGTAACAATGATAAATAGTACAACCGCGAATGTTAACAAAATAATTAAAGTATAAATAAAAATTCAGAGAAATTTATTTCAAAATGGAAAAATGGCCAGCATCACACTGGCGGAATTTTACTGATAGTAGACCTGGAACAGACCGGGATAAAAATAAAAAAGACGAAAAAGTATAGAGTTAATGACCGGGGACAAGTTACTTTGTCTTTGGGCGACGTGTGCGCTTTGGAACGTGTGCAGACTGTTCTTCTGACACCTGCTCTTGCCTTTTTTTGTTATTCGACTGAATATTATATGTTCCAGTCAGCAAGACTGATTGTAGCTGTTCTGATCCACTGTTTTGATTATTTCTTCGTTGAATTAATGGAACATTATGTGATGAATCACTGTCATTTGGTTCACTGCTATCATCAACTACATGATAAAATAAAAGCATGCTTGAGACTCTAATGACTCTATTTTGCTTTTACCTGCAGCTTTTGCTAATAGGATTATCTCACTAGTAACTGGTGCATTGAACTCGGTTAGATGTTTATCTTTTGCGTTATTAGAAACAGCTGTGGTTCTTTTGGGATCATTATTGACCGCGTCTCCATAAGTAAGTGATTGATTGTCTTTTAAGAAAAGCATTCAATTAGAAATGTATATTTTATGAGCAAGAACCAACCTTTTTGCGGTAGCATGACATGTCGTATGAAACTCTGCACTGTTTGAAATGAGTTTTCATTAACTGTACGCCGTCCTGGGTTAATCGTAACCCCCCACTAGCGGTTGATGGAATGGTGATTGTTGAACACGTCGAAACATAGTTGTCGACGGTAATACCGAATGCACCTAATACCTGCGCGAATGTCTCAACGGAAGACTGATGTGAAGGTGTAGAAGGTAAAAATTTGACAAATGTTTCCACAGGTTTTTCATTGTTTTGAAGGAAATCACCGGTTAATACCATACAGGTTTTATGCAAAACATCGAGTGCAATGCGATGATGTGCTCTATCTTTTGATATTGCAAATAACATTGTACGTGTAAACATCAGCGTTGGTTGCAATAGTATTTTTCGACACAATTCTCTATGCTGACATTCACTGATAATCTTGAGGGCATGTTCTTGCAAATCAGTTTCGGTTTGATTCAAATCATTTGCCGAATTAGAGGCTGTAGCATCTGCGATTGAAAGCAATCATTATAAACTGGAAAAAAAGGACTGAAGACTTACTAATATATAGTAGTGGTGGCGAAATGTTTTCGTCATATTTTTGTAACATATCAGCTTTTCTCGTTGTTTTGGTCTTCGATTGCGAACTGTGTTTGTCAGCATGCATCTGAATCCAGGTATCCAAATCTTTTATCAATGCTCGATATTGTTGTTTGTTGATAGCTTGCAAGCCAATGGACGTCGGTTGATGTTGTTCGAGCATAAATGCATTTGATGAATAATACTGCTCATATTCATCGAACGTAGTTCCATATTTAGTTAATAATAACCTAGCAAATTGCTGTCTCTCTTCAATGTCTGGTAAACATTTCATATAAGTGGCCTGCATGAAGTTGCTTGCAAGACTACGAAATAGTTTTTTGCATGGTTTCTCAGCGGCAAAAATTATTCCATCATGATTTAACATTGATAAAATACGTTTCATTTGATCTTTGTTCACATTTTTCAATATAGATCCGTTGCCGTTTAGCATCGTTTGAGTGAAAAAACGATATAGTAGTTCCAGGATTATTTTTCGAGCCAAACGATTATCAGCAGAGAATGTTTCGCCTTCATCGACGACATAGTCAAACAAATGCATCACCTAAGAAAGTAAAAGACATTAAAATTGTCTAGCGGGTAGAAGCATGTGCTTACTTGCGGCAAAACAAGACGGGTGTAAAAATTCACGGCAATTTGCGCTGCAGTTTCGTCGACTTCGATACAATTGTCAGCGGGTGGTCTCAATCTAGATCTTTCGGCTTCCGTGTCTTTTGATGATGGACCAAACTTTTCCCGAGCCTTTTCACCGCATGCGTTCATAAAGTCGCGACTAACTGTGGCCGACCAGATGCTGTCAATTTGTTCAAGAACTTCCATGCTATCAATCAGTTGTTGTACATTCACCGCGATACGGACTAAAATTTGAGATGCTCGGCGTTCAATGGCTCTCTGTTGTTCGGTTCGAATGGTAATGTTGGTCGAACAGAAGTTGAATTTGTCGTTGTTCGTTTGCATGTAAACACAATGCTTCGCCAATAAAATATACGCGCCTTTAGTGAACGTATAATAACGAAAGCCAAGTGCAACTCGTGCAGCAAAACACTGTTCAACGGTTGCTTGAGTATTGTTAATTGGCACTGAAGTCGAGCGAGTATCATACTGGTAATTTAGGTGTTTTTCGAGGTCTTCTTCTGATTCAAAGTTGTCGTAGAATATTTTTTCACGCTCATTATCGAAACACAGTACAGAACAACGTTCATGGAAACCGCCAGGTTGCTGTGAACAAGAGTAATGTTGCAATATTTCAGCCTAACGCTTGCCTGTGGTGGCCACGAGTAAATTTAAAAATTTGTCCCGGATCAGCAAATCGTAAGTCATGGTCGATTTACTCAGCGTACGAATACCATCATTTGCTTGTATGAATATAGAATGATTCGTGTCCGCTTGATTCGTGTTGAAATTAAAATAATCGAGTGATGATAATACACCTTCTGAAATGAAGAGGAAAAGCCGGCATAAATACCTGTATGATACAGATTACATCTTACCTCCTTCATGTGACAATATGAATATGCAGCGTTTGTTTTCTGCTATTTTACTATTCTAGTATTCTACTATTCTAGTATTCTACTATTCTAGTATTCTACTATTCTAGTATTCTACTATTCTAGTATTCTACTATTCTAGTATTCTACTATTCTAGTATTNTATTCTACTATTCTAGTATTCTACTATTCTAGTATTCTACTATTCTAGTATTCTACTATTCTAGTATTCTACTATTCTAGTATTCTACTATTCTAGTATTCTACTATTCTAGTATTCTACTATTCTAGTATTCTACTATTCTACTGTTCTGCTATTCTACTATTCTAGTATTCTACTATTCTACTGTTCTGCTATTCTACTATTCTAGTATTCTACTATTCTACTGTTCTGCTATTCTACTATTCTAGTATTCTAGTATTCCACTAGGTAAATGTTGACTGATAGATGATGGGTAGTATAAGGATTAATGCATAATTAATGCATGTAATGCACGTCTAATGCATAATCAATGCATTGAAACGTAAAATTTTTTCTCACTAAGAACAGTAGAATAGTAGGATAAGGGATTATTTCCGAATCTAAGAAATTCGCCCAGCCCTCAAAATTCCATACGTTCGGTTCTTTCGAATCTCTTCACTATCATTCCGATAGTTTTGACATTGACTTTTGTGATCTTGCAAAGACTCTTGATCTCGTTTCTAGAATAGGATGTTGTTTAATTAGTGAAGCAGAATGCTGTTATAAGAAGTCATAAGCTAAGAAATCAGACAGTCGTATGCGAGCGGGAAAAGGCAGATCCTAGTGGAACCAAGGAGCCGCAGGATCCATCAGGATTTAGTGGAATCTATTGGGATCCATTAGGATCGTAGGAACCGGGATCCGCTTTTGCTCCTTGATCATATGTAAGCATTTGAAACTTAAATCGTCATTACATAGTTCAAATATATATTTAAAAACTTGATCATGCTGAAGAATTCTACGTTTTTTAAATATGTTTCTACATATCAATAGTTATAAAAGAAATCTGAAATAATATTTCGATAGCTCTATAGAATAAATTCGATCAAAAAGTGCGCGCAATACTCTCCAACATATCAGGTCATTGAGTGGATAGTAGTTTAGTATAAGTTGCAGAAGCTGTTGTCTTTAATATATATATTTTCTATTATAAAAACGACTCACACTTCTTTTTAGAATGAGATGACACAAGCTGTTTTCGACGAATCCGAAAAAAGACTACAATTTCTTTTATTACTGCATTCTAGAGAAAAGTGATCGAGAAGGTCAAAGTTACAAAATACTTAATTTCAATTTATTAATTTTCTCACAGAAATAGTCAAACTTTTTTTCTCATTTATGTTGTAGTAAGAATCTGATCAAAATCACAGTATTAATATTTTAATAGGTCATTTTCGAAATGTTGAGGAAAGAATGTCGACAGCCTAAATAATGGCACACAAATATCACTATGAAAAAATGTCGATGCGAACAGTTATCAAGAAGCGAATGTTGAAATATACAATGTCTCAATACTTCACGATATCAGCTGACAAGGTACAATGACGATGTGATAATCAAACTCGAACAACTACTGTCGGAGTAGCAAACAATAGTTGAGATAAATACTAACGAGGAAATCTATTGCGGTGCCTCGCTCGGATTTTTTTCGTTCTTGCGTCATTCTCTAGAGGACCTCGAGTAGATAAAAAGCCTAAAACGATATCGACCAACGGCTCTTGAAGACCTCGTTTTATGCAAAACCAGTTTTTCAGAAACTCTAAAAAATGACCAAAACCTTTCTTAATGAAGCATTATTGTAGCCCGCAAATTTCTGATTAAAATGAGACATCTCCAAACTCTACATGACCTTTGTTTGGAAAGTTAGAGAATTTACAAGAAAAGCCTTGAATTAATTTCTTATTTCTGTGGCTTTAAGCTGACAATTTACAACATTTAGGGCTTTTCTTGTAAATTCTCTAACTTTGCAAAGAAAGGTCGTGTGGAGCTGGGAGATGTCTCGTTTTAATCAGAAATTTGCGGGCTACAGTAATGTTTCATTAAGAAAGTTTTCGATAACTTTTGAAGTTTCTGAAAAACTGGTTTTCCAGAAAACTGGGTCTTTAAGAGCCATCGTCCTTTTAGGGCATTTTACCTACTCGAGGTCCCCCATCGGATGACCTAAGAACGAACAAAATCGGAGCGAGGCATCGGAGTAGGTTTCCTCGTAAGTAGATAAAAATATGTCCGCCGTAGAACTACATAACTTATTGTCATTTCCTTGACTTATCTTTGTATATTCAGCTTTAGTTTAATTTATACAAAATTATAATTTGCAGTCAATTCGATTTTTACTATATTATTGCTGTCGCTATTCTACTTCTTGACAATTTGTGTTATAAATGTTTTTATTATTGCCGAATCTTCTTCTGACATTTAACTGTTTTCTCGACACATAATTTACTTTTTAACAAAACTACGATCGATTTATGTTGAGAATGAACAATTAAAATTGGCTTACCATAGAAATCAAAAAGTGATCTTCAGGTAATACATCAGTAAAAATTATGAGCTAAGTTAAACGAATCTATTTTTCCTACTAATATATGTGCTGTCTATAACCGAATCAAAGAATCCTATAACAAAATTATATGGGATCTTGTAAGATCCTATCGGATTCTAAAATACGATCTTGTCTGATCATATATGATCCTATGAAATCGTATAGGACTTCATAGGAAACACGTCTGTCATCTGAAAGCAAGAAAAGACGTAGGATTCCTATTATAGGATCCTATGAGATCCTACAGTAGGAACTTATAAGATCCCATTTATTTGTTTAATTATTTCTAACCCCAGATACCAGAATCGGGTGATTCTAAGCTCGGATGAGTCCAAGACTTGTGAATATTCGCTCACACGTCATGGAACACTATACTGAGTTTCGATGGCTTACAGAATTTCAAAAATTTTGGCTCGACGAATTTTTCATGTTCTACAATAGTATTTAATAATTAATAATTGTATTTATATTATAGTTACTAGAAAATACGACGATAGTTGCGTTCCCGTGTAGAAAAAGAAAAGAAAAGAAAATATATACAGAATGGAAAAATAGGAATCCTACAAATCTTACCATAGGATTTTGTAAGAAATGTATAAGATTCCTATTTATAGGAATCCTATGAAATTCTGCTACCAGTAGGATCCTATAGGATCTTGGAGGATCCTAGTAGGATTGTTTGACCTGGGTACATTTAATAAGTTTCAAATTATGCAAACTGACATTCGTATTATCCTTTTGACTTTAACGACTAGTAGAAATGCCAGACTGCATATTGATCGTTTCGATTCATGAACACATATCTTACTTCATAACCTAATAAAGTTCGTTTTAACAAATTATGTTTACGTTATAACCAGACGTTGAAATTTAAATATGAAATACTTGCATATTCATCACTGTCTGATTTGTGATTTCTCAAACCGATTAATCAACAAAATCTACTCACATCTAAATCTACTCACAAAACCTACTCAAATTCTGTAGCCATTTCGCAAGCTTTTTGTAAATTTGAAGATGATAAATAGAACGACGGCTGATGATAACGGCAAAAACTTGGATCAACTAAAATGAATTTGTTAATAGTCAAGAACAAGTAGAGAACATCCAGTGTTATTCCTAGTCTATCAATGTACTTTTTCAGCACCAATGAATATGATGGACGATACCTATGTTGATCATATGTTAATGTATTGCTTGTTGATGGTCAATAGATAAATTTTTAAATGATATTTGAAGAAAATGTAAATGATTTAGACCAAATATGTTTGATGATGGTTTTTCTTTCCGAATGTGCAAAGTTAATGTGTGATTAAGATAATATCTGTGAAATACACGTTCGACTATAATCATGTTTGGTTACAGTTTTATTAATCTTAAAGACTTTAAACGGTAATGCATAGTATCTTCATCAGATGTGAATATTGAACAATTAAACTCATCATATTTAGTAAGAACTAAAACAAAAAAAAATAGTATCATCTGTATGTAGATGAATGATATGCTCTTTCATTATATCGTTGATATCCGATACATTAAATCAGTAGACAATCGACCTCAATTAGAAAAAAGAACCCCGTCTTATCGTTATTAATACCAGTGTAAGGTACTGCCAAGTGCAAGGGGGAAAAGGCGGATCCGGGATCCAAGCGGATAGAGGCGGCTCGGTGCTGATACAATCGTTTCTGAAAGTTTAAAATGGAATTCGGTCGAGAAAGAAAGTAAAATAGGACTCACAGAAGTCAATTTAGAAAAACATCCCCGATTTTTAGCAAACTTCACTCTCCCTTAGAAAACATCTCCCCATTTTCAGAAAATTGCTTCATAAATTTCACTTACTCTTAAAACAGTATTTCTGTTTCTTTTTTCTACTCGTCTGTCTCTTTCTACTGCGCTTGTTCAGAAAATGTATATAAGATGCGTTTATTCCAATAGCAGTCACAATTTCACTAGCATTTATTTACTGATGAAGATAATTCAAAACGTGTTTATATCCTCGTGTGCATTCGCCGTTTTTTGTTTTTAAAAGTTACCGTCATATTTATAAATACATATATTTTTCTATTAAAATTAAAAAGTTTTATTATTCAATCAAGCAACGTTGTGCCGTATTCATTATCATTTATTTTTATTCGTTTTTCTACGCATTTCGCTTTATTTCACCTGCTTCTCTTATTACACGAAACATTACAAAATACGAAAAAACAGTTTTTTAAAAGACTTGATAAGTCCTTTCGTTTTCGTTTTCTTTCTGCTTTTATTTTCTCCTCCTTCGATTTATTATTAATTGTTAAACATAGTCATATTGTTTTTAGCCCTTGTCCTTTTTTGCACTTATCGAAATTGTCAAAATATCTGACATTGATGCTTTGTCACTTTCTGAAGCCGATTTTTTTTATTATGTACGTGAGAAAACAAATGATATTATTGTTGATATTCTACAAGTACAAGAAATTTGTTCAACTCGTCTATTATAATGTTCCGATGATCCATTGTCAATACTAGAATATGAATGTGATGAACTAGCTGATATTAAAAGACGTGCTGTACTTTTTTTTGAAATCGGGTGGTCATACTGTTAAAAATGGTGTTAAGGGCAGTATGAAATAAGGTGTGCGTAATTCAAAGTTCGAGCACTATCTCAGAATTGGCTCTTTTTCACATATTCTGATAGAAAAAGTGTCCTGAGTTGTGCGCGTTTCACGTGAAGGACGCGTTTTCTGACGTTTTTGACCTGTTTTAGTATTTTGTGAATTTGAAAATGAAGACAAGGGTTTTTTCAGATTCCGAGTACATCATTAAACTCAGGACACTTTTTTCTATCAGAATATGTGAAAAAGAGCCAATTCTGAGATAGTGCTCGAACTTTGAATTACGCACGCCTTATTTAACTGATGAGTTAAAGGAAATTGAAAAGAAACATACGAAAGAATCGAAAATCCAGCAGAAAAGCTCAACCGATCAAACAACAACCGTGACACCAGTATCTTCTTCCGGCAATTCTCTCTCTTCTAATGCGGTACCTTCGTCCTCAGTAGTCATTCAGCATCAACTGTTCACACTCAGTCATCTCTTTCGATCACGTCAACGTTAAATTGTGAGCAACGTAAAGATAATGTAGAAGATATGATACAATCATGGTATAAGAAAAACTTGGATGAGATTGAATTAATCCTACGCGGATTGGGACTACGCACTAAGAATGCCACATGAGGGGCTGGCCTATCGAGCCTTTGAAGCCACGCCACGAGGGAAAAGGCCAGTCAGACGCCCACGCCTAAGTTGGCACAATTATATCGCACGCCTATGTCACGAGCGATTGGGACTATCATGGACCGATGTTATTAGTGCGACGAATAATCGAGATCGATTGAAGGCTCTGCTGGACATGCTTAAAACCTCAACCCGAAAGAGTAAGAGAAAACAAAAATCAATGAATGAACGAAGGAGAGAGGGAGAGAGAAGAGAAGAAGAAGCCGACACGCGTCAGTAAAGATGGAAAAGAATTATCTGACCAAAAAAGTGAATCTGACTATTGTTTACATAATGAGAGAGCGGACGACCGAAAAGATCAGAGAACAGAGAACAACAAAAGAAGATGAAACAAATTACAGTAGAACGAGCGAACGAAAAGAGGAACGTCAGAGATATAGAGAAAAGAGAAGAACAAGCAGCTAGTGGCAGTTAGGGCTGTAGCAATATGTAACAGTGAACGGCAGGCTAATTATTTTAGTTTTGATTTTAATCAAGCATCACACACTTCCGATTGTCAGAATAATGTTCCATGTTGTCAAGATCAACCGTATCTAAATTCTGCTATGCACAGTGGGCATTCAGGCGGACATTTGAGAAAAAAATCGAAAGTGCGCTTTATCAAATACAAATAGTGTAGAACATACTTCATTAAAAGGCCTATCGAATGGTGTATAAAGATCAGTTTGAAATAATGTGCTTCTAGTAGAACGGACAGTCAGAAAAAACACTATGGAATATAATACATCTGTACAAAAACTTGATTCTATCATCAGTCGTGCACATTTAAACTATCTAAAGAACATATTTGGAATCACTACATCCTAGCACATCTTCTCATACCAAAAGGTTACCATTTCACATCTTCTTTGTATCAAAAATAATTAAACGCAACCTAAATTTCAATACGGTTGGAGCGTACCTCGGTGTAGTGTAAACGCTAATGATAGCTGAGGTAGTAGATAACTTCCAATTACATGGGAATGTTCATCAGAACCTACTCTATCTATATTGCATGCGATATGATGCGATATGTTTCCTAAGTCGAGTTCCAGATTTTCTAAAACCCTTAAGGGATTTTTGGTATTTCGATGTTTTCCTCATCTTAAAAACGCTTCTTTCGCAAAATAAAGTGATATTTAGAATCAGCGTGAAAAACTGCATCGAATGATGTATAATTTATTAGTTGTACAAATAAAACATTTCTTGACGAAAATACAGGGCAAGGGGCCCCTAAAGGCATTTTTTATCGAATAAAGATTTTTTTTCGAATTGGATTTTTTTTACTTCTATTAATATCTGACACATAATAAGACTATACTATGCGGAAATAATCATTTTTTAACTCAAAAAATCAGATGTCCGCCTGCTCTACGGGAAAATGCCCACTGTGCTATGTACGCTTGACGAAGAACATGACAGTGCCAGCGCCAGGAACTGCAGCCTCCTTAAGTACCTTTGAATTCAATGACTGAAATTTTATTTTCCAAAACAAATTAACAAACGACAAAAATTCGTCCATGTCAGTGTTTCAGGGATCCACGCGATTTCTTTCTAAAACATCACCTGCGGCTTCAAGAATATTGACTGTGACCAGTACTGACCCTTTGCCGGTAGTTTTACCGTCTCGCCGTTAGAGTACCCGAATGTCATTTCAGAAATGTTTCTGTGTTTGTCCACAGTTCTTATTATTTAAAGACAGATAGCGGGAGAGAAAAAGCGAGTAAAACACCAAGCGACCAAGAAAGGCAGTGCTATACAATGATTCTCTTACATCACAAAGTTAATTCGTATTTGAATAACTAGGTGTGTTATTTTTCCCAGCGTCGTATCAAGTATCCTTCAGTATAAATGTTGAGAAAAATAATAAAACGATCAAACCTTTACCAACTGTCAACGAAGGCAAGTCCAATATTCAAATATAACATGCTGGCAAGAAGCACTGTCTTCTGGTTCTTCATTGTCGTTCTCTCGCTGCTCGTCAGTCTCAGTCAACAAAATCTTAACAAGCACCCGTTGCTGCCAGGTCTTGGCGATGAACTTGATTTCAGCTTTCTCAAAACTCCACCGTACTCCTCTTTTCCTGGCGGTGACGCGGCACTTTGTCATTGCAGTGGCGCCGCACCCGAAACTGTCTACACTATTACCTACCATGGCACAGGCAATCAACAGCTCGTTTTATGTATGTGTCCCAATGCAGTCATGAGCGCTCGTTATATGATTGAAATGATGGGACGAGTTCCCTACGCAATTCGGCGACACAACAGGGCTATGATTTCGGCCACGGCCGGAAAGTGTGGGGGAGCTGGATCGAGTGGAGATGTTTCATATTATTGCGAACCGACTATGCACATCTCCGTGTTCATACATGAATCAGCGCACTCAACAGATCGTGGCACATCGGCATCGAATAACTGGTGTGACGCCGTTGAGCAAGATTCGTGTGTACCTGACGGCTATGCCAACTCCAATTATGCCGACAACTTTGCTCAGGTGGTCGTCCTTTGGGTCCATTTGATCGGTCGAGGACATAGCAAGGATTTCGGAGGAGGGCAGTTTGCTTGTATGAGAAACCAACTACGACATATAGATACGGTATTGCCTGCGTGGCGTATTCAAGGTATATTGTTGCACTAGCTTATTCAAAACTTTTGGTGGATCGTTCGTTTGGTGGCAACATTCTAGTATCACTACAAATAGGTGATCTTTATCGCGTTTTTCTTGTGAAGATTTCCTATAGCGTGAAAAAGTATGTGCCTGGGTAGAAAAAAGATTCTGTCAACCGGTTTACTTGCATTCATTCCTTGTTAAGAATCGAAAAACTCCGAAAATTCTGATTTTAACTGAACTAACTTTCTTTTTTTCAGAACGGGACACTCTTCGGTCGGGTCAACAACTCGAGCGGAAAGAAGGACTCACATCTCAGAACGGTGCCTATCGTCTGGTCATGCAAGACGATGGAAACCTCGTGCTCTACGTTTCTGACAAAGATGTGCCCGCTAATGCCCTCTGGACCACAGGCACGTTTAGCAAAGGTCCTCATCACTTTATTGTACAGCGTGATGGCAACTTGGCCATCTACGACGGCGAACATCGGTCTGCATGGGCCTCAAACACAAGTAGACAGGTAAAAGCGAAAAAAAGGCGTGCTGCCTATTATCTTCATTTACTTCTGTTTTTTAGGACGCTGATCAGGGGCGTTTGGTCTTACAAGATGATGGCAATTTAGTTTTCTACGATAATAGCAATCAAGCAGTTTGGGCTTCGAATACCTGCTGTTTTATTTCTCCACGGGAATAGTTGTTCTTCTTTCCCGTCAAATAAAAAAGGATTTTGTCATGATTAATATCTAGAATGTATATCCATTTTAAGAAAGTAGTTTGTGCAAGCATATGAGGAGCAAAACATCACCACTTTTGTATTTTTTGAATGTTATTTATGATGCGACGATGCTCATCGTGCTGAAAAAAGTTCTTTTCGCCGCGCGAATTTTATTTTTTATGCTTACGTTTCTTCGAGTATCTTTGATTCAAGGGGTGTTTAGGTGCCCGGCCACCCCTCGGGTTGTCGGCCTAGCATTAATTTGATGTAAAATCAAATGAAACCGATACTACATGCTTTTGGTGTTGTTCAGAGATAATTACTGTATCAGTACTGTAATACTGGCGAAAAAGTGTTTTAGTACTTGCGACATTATACTGTAAAATCAGTATGTGCTCTAAGGGTGGAGTCGAAACCGTCATGATAACTTTCACTGCACCCCATCCCCACCCTAATCCTTTAGTAGATTTAGTATTTTGTTATGGCTTATCCTTGCGATAGATCATTATACAGATACTTGACAATTGATAATATTCTTAGCAACAAAATTGAAATACCTGCCCTAGTGAACTTTGGACCATAGATTTTTCATGTCTATAGATTTGGTTAAGATCGCATACATGATATGAGAAATAGCTTTCTGAAGCGTTCCTCTTAACAGGCTATATTACTGAACAAGTCCTGTCCTTCAGTCGTTTTCTCTTTTACCCACCTTAAAGAAAATAATAATAAGGATTCATCATTACCTTTTCAGTTGCAATACATTTTCTTGGAACAACGTGCTGAATATAACGTCTACCAATTCTTTGATTGTGTATGTATCGATTTTTGTCGTTGATGTGTACTATTTGAAAAATACTATATCCCATTGATGTATATAATTTCTCTGTAGAATGATCTTGTACCCAAACTCCACAGCCATCTTTACTAAGCGAATTTTTATTCGATTCCGAATGTTTGATAATAAAAGTAGATGATTCTCTTACGTCTTTCGGTAGCTGCTCGGAAACGACACTTTGTTCGACCACGTCACGTACTTTCACTATTATCTCTGATCCATCCATAAATACATTTCTTCCTACAAGTGACGGTGACTGATTTTCCCCATTAATTGCAGATATTTCTTGATGAAGATCATTTGTACACACATCAACGGCATTTTCATGCAATGGAAACGACGGTAATCCCGTATTCTCATGGTCCCGATCGGTTATACTATCCATGCTTATTGATGAGAAACTGCTTCTTGTTCGTAAAACAGGTACAAGATGATTTGGACGCCATATAAGTTCTCCATCCAGACCAGAGTACTCGCAATCCTTCGTCCGACAATACTGAATCCGTCTGCCGTGGTTCATTGATACAATTTAGAAGCTCAAAATAGCCGTCATTATCATTTATGTTTGGATATATAGATTCTATTTTACTACCAAATATGGAAGATACAGCTGCTAACGTATGAACACCAATATATTCATGATTATTCATAATTCACAATACATGTTCTTGCACTGTCTCATCATCCGCTAGATCAAGTTTCATACTATACAGCATTGTTGTATAATGTTCTTAATTACACGCTAGTTCTACAATAGTACGGACGCGAATCTCATAGACGCTCAAATTAGGATAGAATATCTTAATAGTGTTGAACATGCAGTTTCCATCTCCTTCCGCATAAACTGGATTATATTCACGTCTAACAATACCAGTATAATAATCAAGTAGATATTGTGCCCGTTCATCTAATCGATGAATAGCAGGGTCGTAAACTGTTGTTGCTGTGTGAGATATCGGAAGCTTCTTTACTGCAGGTTCCAAATCGATACATGTCGCTTTAAAGCTTTCAAAATCTTGACTAACACTACTTAAATTACCCCAAATCGACTGATAATAAGTTTGTCTTGTTTCTAAACCATATTGATCACAAATACAACTGTTGCTTGTGTAGTCGCGGCATCTGCTACGTTGCTGAGATTCTAATTCTTCGTTTGTCTCTTGCAAAAACTCTCGATGCACTCTTTATGTGATGAAACAACGAACTTTAACTAGTATAACTTCACTCTAACGATATGCATATATATATAGAGCAGTGGTAACAATATACATATATGAGAAGAAAAGAAAGTGTACCATATTCAAAACAAGAACTTGTCTTTTCTATCGTATATACATCTATGCTTTATCTCAATTATTGACATTACATATCTGTTTAGCTTT